TCCGATACAAATCAATACACTAACGATATTTCTAACCTACATACTGTGTTTGTGTGTCACCTCTATAGTCTGTAAGTTCTTAATAGAATTTTTTATCACGACGCAAATCAATACAATGATTATAACTAATCCGCATATTGTGTGTCATATCTATAGTCGGTAAGTTCTTAATAAAAATAAAATTTTTTTTCCTTACATTTACAGTAATTCACAACACACAAATAATTATATTAACGATAATTCTAACTAACCACATACTGTTACTACAGCTCGTAAGTTCTTAATATATTTTTTATAGCTACGGTAAATCACGATACAAATAATTAATCCACAAATGTGTGTCGCTACAGCTCGTAAGTTCTTAATAGAATTTTTTTTTTTTTACTGTTACAGTTAATCACGATACAAATCAATGTATCAACAATAATTCTAACTGATCCGTATACTGTGTGTCACTATAGCCAGTAAGTTCTTAATATAATTTGTTTTACAGCTACAGTTAATCACGATACATAATCAATGCAATTCGATAATTCTAACTAATCCATATACTATATGTTACCACAGCTCGTAGGTTTTTAATAGACTTCTTTTACAGTTACAATAAACACAATACAAATCAATACACTAACGATAATTCTAACTGTGTATCACTACAGCTCGTAAGTTCTATTTTAAGTAAGGCATGAAAATTAATTACTTGATTTCATAACCGGCCAAGTCAAAATTTGGAATTTTATAAAAAAAAAAAAACTTATGGTTTAATAACCGGATGGGTTTTTAAAAAGATTATCTGATATGTAAAAAAAAAAAGCTAGCTGGCCGGGTCTATTTGAAGTCTCATATCAGGAAAACCAAAGACTTTAAGTTTATATGGTTTACAGCAAATAACAATACACTAACGATAATTCTAACTAATCTATACTCTGCGTCACTACAGTTCGTAAGTTTTTAAAATACTGTAGATTTTTTTTTATGGATACAGTAAATCACGTAGTGATTGTAGTCGATTTGGATAAAATCGACTTAGCCGACCAAGTCAGTCGATTTTTTGAAAAATTGACTTAGTTGATTCTTGATTGAGTTCATAGGAAGTGTCGGAAAATTTAGGTGAGTAGACGAAAAAATTCAGGATACTTTATTTCACATTCCAGCAAATACCTATTGTCGTACCTAATAGTTAACCAATTATATTCATTTAAATCACATGTTTAAATTAACCAATTAGAACGATCGACTTCGACTTAGCCGGCTAACGTCAAGGAAAGACACAGCGTGTAGGGGGATTTGTCCGCACACGTCATTATCAATGCACCTCATTAAACTTACAATAAGCATTTGGATTATTAAGAATGAAATGAAATTATAAAGTAAAATTTGACAAGAAAAAAATTTTGTTAGAGCACAAAAGTCTGTTTGTTATGTAAGTTTTTGAGATATGAACAATTTTAAGAACGAACAATTTTTTTTACATTATTCCTGATCGTGTTACATTACGCTTGATCGCAATTTAATCATTGGTCAATTATCACATGTGCGGACAAGTCCTCCTGCATCCTGATACTGTTAACGCCAAGCCGATTTTTAAATATTGACTAGCCAAGTCGATAATTAGAGTCGACTACAAACTAGGAATGGGCCGCTGCGCGAGTACCCTAGCCATCCAGAAAAAAAAGTGGCAGTCACGTGATTTTGGACAATCAGCAAAAATCGGATAAGTGTATAATGCGAAGTAGTAAACCTTATTGTTAGGGTTAGAATTAGGGTTAGAATATAGCTTAATGTATACCAAAATTTAGCGAGAAGTTTTTGTTGTTAGTACGCAGAAGGTAATTTCATAAGTGAAGTTTCGAGTTATTGACGATTTTTCAAAAAAAAAAAAACCAAACAAAAAAAGCGTGAATTTTACAGTACACTTGTTACACCTGATCTTTCTATCTAATTGGCCAGATTTCGAAAAATCACGTGACTGCCACTTTTTTTCTGGATGGCTAGGGTACTTCCCTGCGCAGGCGGACTTTTTAGGAAGTTCGGAATATTTCGGAATTTAACAATTCTGGCCCGCATTAGCAGAAAACTACATAATGCGGGCCTGTGCAGTAAATTTAACAAATTTTCGATTTGCCCATCCCTACTACAAACACTAAATCACTACATAAATCACGATAATTCTAACTAATCCACATACTATGTTGTCATCTCTATAGTCTGTAAGTTCTTAATAGAATTTTTCTTTTTTACAGTTATGGTAAACCACGATACAAATCAATACACTAACAATAATTCTAACTAATCCACATAATGTATGCGTCACTTCTATAGTCTGTAAGTTCTAAATAGAATTTATTTTATTTTTTATTTGTTATTTTTTATTTTTTTTACGATTGCAGTAAATCACAAAACAAATCAATACATTAATGATAATCCTAACTAATCTGCATACCATCTCTATAGTTTGTAAGTTCTTAATAGATTGTTTTTTTTTTTTGCTGTTTCAGTAAAATATGATTCATTTCTTTCAATACGATAACGATAATCCTAACTAATCCACATACTGTGTGTTACCTTTACAGTCTGTAAGTTCTCAGGATTTTTTTTTTTTTACAGTCCTTGGAATCACGTTACAAATCAATACATTAACGATCATTCTAACTAATCCTGTATGTCACTACAGCTCGTAAGTTCTTGAATTTTTTTTTACAGTTACAGTAAATCACGATAATTCTAACTAATCAACATCCTGTGTGTGTCACCTCTATAGTCGGTAAATTCTTAATAAAGTCACAGTAAATCACGATACAAATCATCACAATAACAATAATTCTAACCAATCCACATATCTTTATCATTACAGATCGTAAGCTTTTTAATAGAATTTTTTTTTTATAAATCACGATACATATCAATGCACTAACGATAATTCTAACTCACATAATGTGCATCACTACAGCTCGTAAGTTCTTAAAAGAATTTTTTTTCTTTCAAAAATCAATATATTAATAATCTATCTTCAATTAAACTATGATAGACGGTGTGTATTAGTTGTTTTTAAATCTAACTCTTAATACATTATTTAATTTATTATTCAATCTTAAGATTTCAAAAGGAACTTCATAATTGGACAAGTGGAAATCCCGACATTGATGAATTTATTAAACAAACTCAACTTTTTGCAGAGAAATTTAGTGACATTATCGAATGGATACCTTTCGCTAAATTTACTAATATTAAGTATATTGCTAAAGGAGGCTTCGGCACTGTTTTTAAGGCAATATGGACCGACGGATATATTTACGGATTTGACAACCAAACAAATGAATGGAAACGAAATGTACAAACAGATGTTTGTTTAAAAAGCCTTGATAATTCTAAAGATATAAAACAAGAATTTTTAAATGAAGTATATATTATATATATTATACAATTTATTATTGCTGCTATTATTATTCAAGTTTTATTTATCCTAATTAATAATTTAGATTAAAAATCAACATAAACATGGAGGTTATTCAGCAATTGAAATTTATGGAATAACTCAGAATCCATATGAAAATAATGATTATATGATAGTTATGCAGTATGCAAGGCAGGGAAATCTCAGAAAATTATTAGATAGCAAATATAACGATTTAGATTGGAATTCCAAAGTTGCTATCTTATATTGCATAGCCGATGGGCTTGATACAATCCATAAAGCCAATATTGTACATAGAGATTTTCATCCTGGAAATATAGTTAACGAAGATATGTATAATCTTTACATTACTGATTTTGGATTATCTAAGCCGGTGTCTCAAAGTTCAAGCACTGAAGGAATTTATGGTATAATTCCTTACATTGCTCCAGAGGTATTCTATACAGGCGGAAAGGAATACACTCAAAAATCAGATATTTATTCTTTTGGAATTATTATGTCAGAAGTTTTTGCTGGATATCCTCCATACCATGATATTCCGCATGATGAACATTTAATAAGAAAAATTTGCTTAGGTCATAGACCTGAAATTAAATGTGAGGTTCCTCAACTACTTTTGGATTTAATGGTTAAATGCTTAGACGCTGAACCCCAAAACCGACCAACTGCTAATAAACTAGCCGATGCGCTGGAAAGCTTTTATAAAGACTTGAAAAATGACAACACAGAATTATACAAGCAAGTTGAAGAAATTAAATACTCGGGCAAAAATTTAAATCAATTCACATCAATACGACTCAACTATCAGACACATAAACAAGCTATTTATACAAGTCGGGTTTTTGATTATCAAAATCTCCCGAAACCAATAAATGCTGTTGCAGGTTAGAATGTTACCCAATCAAAATATTGGTTTTAAAGTATTATTTTTTCATACTTATTAACTTTTGAACTTGTTTTAGTAAGCAAGCCTATTGAACGTCCAAATTTTGATTAGTATCTTTAAAGCCTGTTAATATCTGTTATTATTCGTATTGTAATTGTTTTTAAATAAGGCACAGTCTGACTTCCAAATAATCATTGGATTGGTAACCAAAATCAATGTGATTAAGGTGTTAATACCTCTACTTAGATTAACTTCCTACGTTTTCTAATCATTAGTAAACTAAAAAAAAAATAAAAAATTATAATTTGCAACTATGTCAAGGGTACTATATAGAGGTTAGACTGCAAATTATTGGATTAGGATATGCTATCATCTAGAAATCTAATCCATTCAAAAAATAAGAATTCGGTTATTCATTTGTTCAATTTTTTTTTAAATATCTATATCGGTCAAAAAAATTGAATATCCAAAAAAAAAAAATTCTAGTTTTATTTTTTTTCTTAACGCACAAATATATATGTTAAATCTATGGTTTAAGGGACAAAAAAACTACTAAAACAATCTTCTTACAAGAATACTGATTATAAATAACCATCTGAAAATCAAATATAATAAATTTTAACCTATGTTAAAAATTATACATTATTAATGCTAACTACTAGACTATTCAAATCTTAATATCCATTTATACTGCTGTTTTTATTTCTCTTTTTCCGTAGAATCCCAAATAAATTCAATGTTTTCAGAATCCCAAATGAATTTAATGCCTTCTATAAGAAATTTACTTTCATATTCTGTTTGTATTTGGCTTTCAGCATTCAGATATATTGGACTCGATTCCCACTCTTTACATTCTCATCTCTCCATGCTTTTGTAATTGATAAATCATTATAAAAACAAATATACTTCACCCTTAACTTATCCTTAAGCTTGGAGTCAAAACCACTATGTCCGGAAATGAAAGCAGAATTTTCAAGAAGCGCATAATCATAAATTAATCTACCTTGAAAATTGAGAACAGCACGTTTTCCATCTTTATCTGCATCATCAAAAGCTGCACTTTTAATGTGATTAGTAATTATTATTGTTATTATCAAATAGAGTATAATAAATGAATCAATATATATATTACTTAAACATACCTCATAAAAGAAACAACAATATTTTGTAGTATGATGACAAAAACAATATTTCCAATCACACTGATTATGATGAGAGGCCAAAATCCCCAAGCATCAAATGAATTTGAATCCCAATTATATGCAGCAATTATAGCGCTAAAAGGGTTTGAAAATGAATTATCCGGTTCTTCTCCAGTCATAGTATAGACCACTTTGCTCCCATTAACAATCTCGTATGTTGTCTGTGATTGTCTTAACCCAATATATGATGAATAACCAAGAAAAATAAATCTGAATATAAAATATTTATTAGTGAAAATTTTAAATTCGAGTATTTCCAAATATAATAAACTTACAATGCATGTCCCTGAAAAAAAAAGTCAATTAAATGTGAGTATAATATATAATATTGTGAATAATAATGCAATAAACATAATAATCAAATCGAACCATTGCAATTACGGTTAAAGCAAAAAATAATAAAAAAAAACTTATATTAGCAATAATATTGTAAAGTATATTTAGGTAATGTGCGAAACCTAATATGCAAATATATATATGTAAGCTTGAAAATTTTAATTGATGATTAATATATGTACAATACCTGGAATAATACGTAATGTTAAAATCTAAAACAACAATAAATAAATTAAATTATAGAAACAATAAATCCACTACACCATAGCAGCGAGAAATAAAAGAATTTACTTACGAGCTCATACCAAATACATAAAATGCTTATGAAAATAATAAATGACGCAAACAGGCTGCTTTCAGCATATTCAAATCCATTTTCGAAAGTATAATAAGTTAAAATATAAATAGAAATAAATAATTGTAAAAAAAAAGTAAAAAGGTCCATCCAATTAAAAGGATCTTTGCAATATTTCAATATGTTATTTTTCGATATGTTATGAAATAGTTGTTGGTATTCAATCATAAGATGATAATAAGTTAAATAAAAAAATAATAAAATGACTACAAACACCAATATATGTTGAAATTCGCCAGTAATATGAATGCGTGCGATAAACATCCAAGAAATAATAGAATAAGATAAAAAATATATAATAAAAATGCATAAAGTTCGGAACCAATATGATTTGGAAGAATACCACATAAAACCCATAATGGCTTCCATGGATGGGTTATAATAAAAAGGATCATTATGATTATTTTCAACTTTATCTACAAGAAGAAGAAAGGGTATAGTGCACTCTTCTAGAGGCACAAATTTACTGGGGAAAAATATAGATTTTAAAAAGTCCATGAATTTATAAAATATTGACCTTAAATTCATGTATTTATCTCCTCTTTTTTCCAGTAATAGCCTTTTATTTGTTGTGAAATCAATTAAAGGTACCATTTGAATATCAGGAATTTTATCACGGCTGTATTTAATATTACGTAAAAGTTAATTGAATTATAAAATAAGGGTAGCTGCGCATCGTGTGACGCGGCGCAGGACCAGTACGATCATGTACGCTGTTGTGAAAAGCTCAAGGAAATCAATTTACCTATTCTC